ATACATGTAGCTCAATTGCGAGATATCCGAGCGTGATGCGGGCGCTGTGTGTTTGCGCTATTATTGAAAGGACGATAGTCTCGTTGAGAGATACGTACTTAAAAGATATTACGCAACACTATGTCGCCACTTCTACAATGATTTTCTTTACTCTTATTTTTATATGTCGTCAATTAGATTAGCTTTAAAAAGCAATAAATTTTTAAACACTAATCTATTCTTAAAAATAATATCTAGCGGAATGATAAGCAAGTGTGCGCAGTCGCTTAACTGAGTAACTAATTAAATAAACATTATAGTTTTGTCAGTGATACATTTCTATGTCTGCCATTAAACAGAATAAGACGCGTTTCTTTTAAAATTATCAAAATCAATAATTTGGTACAAATCATTAATTATAATACAATGTACACGCTTAAATGAAATGATAATAATTATGTATGCACAAAGTTTAAAAAAATATTTTCAAGTTTTAAGTGGCTGATCAAACTTTATTCTTAATGAGTCCATTATCATCAATGTAAAGATCAATTTTTACATAAACAAAGATGGACATCAATTTATACAAGTGCGCATCACGTGAAGTTAAATAATATAACAATCCGCTTGAAAGTTATGTGCACATTATGAACTTCGTTAAAAAGCCTGACGAATTCATGAAAAATTAAAATAATAAATTCTGATGATTTTCTAATTATATATATATATTTTTTTTGTTTTGTTTTTGTAGTGGAAATTTTATGTTTAATAGTGGAAATAAAATTTCATTGAAATTTGTAGAAAGAAGGGTTGCGCCATTTTTAGACTCACAGATTTTACCACGACCTTAACCTTGAAATGGCAGAAAATATAAAAAAAATGGAAAGAGGAAAAAGGAACTACGAAAGCATATGACGGCAGTATTCGATGTGGGTGGTCCTACGGCTTTTCTGACACGAAATGTTCGAATCATTTGTCAATGCAGTCCAGTTTAGCGATTCGTTACACCAACACAGAAGTTACCCAGTGGTGCTGTAGATATTGGCATGGTCTAGAAATACTCTCTGTCCCTCGATTCCTTTATACTACATCGTCTTTCTAAGCTTAAACACGACCGCCTAAAGTGGTTTTCCCTCGTACATTTAGAATGGGTTTTTTATTGCGGTTTACTGAAAGTGTCAATATGTGATTCATTTTGCTAGACAGATTGAGAACTTCAATTTTGTGCATTTATACGAAAGTTGCTTTAACGTGTCTAGATTATTATGTTACGTGTAATTTAAGAATTTATTACAAATATTTTTTTTTATCCGTTGACGCGCGACATTTAATTTTCACCGATCTTGCAAGAATATTGCACAGGAATGCCGTGTAGTTAAGTATATCAGTTTCGGAAGGTAATGCATCTTCTGGAGAAGAATGCGTGGCTTTGGACCTGACGTGTTCGTGTTTGCAAAAATATTCCTCGAACCTCCCGTGTAGCCGAGACATTCCTGCGCGTCGTACAAACAGAGGGAGTTGGCAAATATTTTCTTTTCTACGTTACACGTTGTACGCTGCTCTTTTCAGAAATTGAGAAACGTGCGAAGGTGAGATTTTCGATGGTCCCGATAGTTGAGCATTCATGTAACGCGGCACAGTCAGAGAAATATTTGTAGATACCGGGAATCTCCGTGTGCTATTTATTTTTGACCTCTTGAACTCTCCGTAAGGTCCTGCCGTTTTCGGGCAAGATAAAGATATACAATGGGGCTTTCTGTAAATCGGTGACTGACACTTCGTTTCAGAGAAATATTTTTTACGAGAATAAAGCTTTATAAGCTCTTGATTTCTATTAAAAATATTACAAAAGCTTTAAAAATCATTCTACACGATGCATTTGCAATATAGTAACACTACAATGGCATAATCAGCGATGTAACATTGATAACTTAGTAATGCAATAGAAAAAAATTATTTAATTAGCGTCTTGTTCTTTCGTTCCGGCGATGCAAGAAGTGATGATCGCGTATCGGGCGCACGCGCTTGAGATCATCCTCGCGAGGAGAACGTAGGAAGAGCGAGAAGTGGGAGTAATGCGGGCTAATTGAAGATTAAATCCTCCCACGGCGGGAGGATTTAATCTTCAATTTCGAAAATCAACGTAATGTATGTAATGTTTCCACCCCAAAAGAGGTGGTCCCTCTTACCCGGCTTAGGAGTGGACGAATGGGTAAGAGGATAGCGAGTAGGGAGCTCGCAACCTGTAATTTCAACGCGAGCGGACTAAGTCGTCGGTAATATGGGAGCCCGGAGCTGGTATAACGGCTCATTTCCATAATTCGTTCTTTAAGCATCATTTTTAATAGGCCCCTGGCGCCGAGTAAGCGGACCGCGCGGCGCTTCGTCGCCGTCGGGGCCAGAGCTTCGTCAGACCCCCGTAGTGTTTACACGACATCGGTCAGACTTCTGTTGTCCATTGCCTTCATTCGCATCGCGATAACGTCTTCATATTTTCACACGACCATAAATCATAATCTTCCAAAGAAAAATAAGATCATTTCTAAAAGTCTTATCTTCCTTGATATTATTAAGCAGATAGTAGAAAGTTTCATCGTAAAAAAAAGAGCGCATTTAGATCTCAAAATAAAACTTTTTTATTAGAATCATAGAACGAGTGGTCACTGCTTGTTCGAAAAGACTTTTTCAAAAGTATCACGATCTCTTTATTTCTTTCTTTTACGAATTACATGTGCTGCGTTACGTACAGATGTTTTATCGCCTCCATAACCGCGCAATGCGCGCTGCGCAATCGGCACAGATATTTTAAATTGGTAACCGCATTACTCCCGCAGTTGCAGCGGTACCCTAAATTTTAATTGGTCGGAGACCCACAAAAAAACGGAAGTGCGGTACCGCTCGCGGGACAAGACGCGGCAAACAAGTGGTGCGCCGTCTGCCGCTGCCTGCCTTTATAAATCGGTCACATGACCGAGCAGAACCGATGAGAATCAACGCACGATAGCGCCTCGAGGATCGTCGGAAGGCGAGGGGAGACTGCGGAGAAGAGAAACAGACTCCGACGGATATACGTATGCGGGGAGAAAGGAAACGAGAAGGTGCGCGAGTAGGAGAAAGACGCAGCCGGAGATGAAAGTTCACTTCTTCCTCGGTAGCAAGGTTTCGAGTCGGCGTGGAGGTAGAGGACCCCCGCCGTGCTCTCCTGCTGCGACCGGTAGCCATCCTCCTGTCCCGTACGTAATACGCATTACATATCTATGTGTGCGCGCATACGCGACTACATCCGTGGTGAACGCACACGCGTGTACCGCGCCGGAAGGTCGAAGACGGCGCACGCCATTCCGATATTAATATTCCGTCTTTAAGTGCGGTAAATCAAAAAGGGGATACGTCGTTCATCCCCGGCTCTGTTGCTGACCTTGTCCGTGGTTTCGGGTTACTCCACTCGGGATCGCCCGGAAGGACGACTTCCCGACAAAGTCTCATCCGTTTGTACCCCGTATTTTCGTGCCTTTCGAACGAATTAGAAGTCGAATAGAAGTAATTTTCGCACGGTAGGCGAAAAGTGGTGTGCGTACGGCGTGGAACGAATAATGTACGTTGTATTAGCGTCATTTGCACAACGAAATCGACTTGTACAACAAAATCGCTTGAAAAATTTTAAGAGTTTACGAGGGAGATCGAAGCCGCTCTTCCATATGTTTCTCTCACGGCACTCGACCGCCGTGCGACTATCGGTCGTCGGCTCCGTGCCGTCAGCGGGATTTCAAAAGAATAGAAAATAAAAAAAAAGGCAATCTCTTTCGACGTAGCCTCCCCGACAGCGCGGCTAAATAAAAATCACGACGAAAAGAATCGAGCGCTACGTACGCTGCACGGGTATTCCAACCCCCGCTGTGAGTCACAGTAAAACCACCGAGGCTGTGCAACGGGGAGATCGTGTACCCCCTTTCTTCCCCCTTTGACGTATTTTTGTGACGCGAACCACACGCAAAGTGCCACGCGATCTATATATTCGGTTTCCCACCTCGTCGTGGCTGAAAGTGGTCTCTAACAAAGCATGGGGCGCTCTAATTTTCTTCCTCCAAAGTTTTCTCAGAATAAATTTGTTATAAAGCTTTCCCCCCCCCCCCACCTCATTGAGAAAGCTTTAAAATAAATTAATATTTGATAGAAGATTTATATATATGTTATGGACAAAGAGATAAATGAGACATTATGCATAATGTCCGAGACAGTCGGGCAGAGTGATAAATAAATATATTTATTTATATTTATTTTTATTTATATCGCCTGATTAAAGCGATAGATTAATAAATATTTATCACTCTGCCCGACCGGCCCCGGACATTATGCATAATGCCTCATTCATCACTTTGTCCATAACATATACATAGATATACATAATGCCTAGCTTCAATAATTCATTAAACTCAACGTAGGCGCTTTATACTTTTTCTCTAATTTAGAGAGAAGAATTTAAGGAAGAATGGAATATCCTCTTAAAGATAGTTAAATAATGTTGCGCTTAAATAAAACGCACCGCCAAATTTTACTATCGCATGGCCAGCGCGGAATCTCGAATGTAATTTTAATTAAGTAGACATTCGGAATGTCGAAAAGAAATTATTAGCCGCGGCAGCGTTAAATGCGAAACCGCCGTCGCGTAACTTGTACTAGCGAGAGGCGGATCAATTTTTCACAATCGTCGTAAAC